GGAGGCAGAAGAATCGCTTGAGCCCAAGAGTTGGAGGTTGCTGTGAGCTGTGATGCCACGGTTCTCTACCCAAGGCGACAGTTTGAGGCTCTGTCTCAAAAAAAAAAAAAAAAGAAAAGAAAAAAAAAAGACATGAGAGACCACAAAGACAACATATACTACTGTTATTACAAACAGCAATTTACTAATTAAGAAATAATAACAACTGAATATATCAAAAGTTCGGGGTCGACACTGTTTCTCACATTAGATAACGTTGAACCCATCCCCAGCCCACTCTTTAAATCTACACTTTGTCTCTACATCTTTATTTTCCTTCATTCCTTCCACACCACCAAACACCGGGAGAGAACCACACAGTTACTAGGACTAGTTCCCAACATGTTGTTTCTATTATTCTCCCTCCTCCCCCCTCAGTTTTGGGCCAGAGGCGGGTTTGGACCTGCCACCTCCGGTATATGGGGCCAGCGCCCGACTCCTTCCACAGGCGCCGCGCAGTTGTTTCTATTTTTATAATCCACCCAGGGGCGGCGCCTGTGGCTCAAAAGGGTAGGGTGCGGGCCCCATATGCCGGAGGTGGTGGGTTCAAACCCAGCCCAGGCCAAAAACTGCAAAAAGAAAAAAAAAAAAAACCGCAACCAAACAAACAAACAATAATCCACTCAGAATCTGATCACTTCTTCCCATTCTCCTGCCACTACTTTGTGTCACCCTCGGTAGAGTGCCGTAACGTCACAGCTCACAGCAACCTTAGACTCTTGGGCTTAAGCGATTCTCTTGCCTCAGCCCGCTGAGTAGCTGGGACAACAGGCGCCCACCACAACGCCCGGCTATTTTTATAGACGGAGTGGGGCGGGGGTAGTTGGGAGGTGTCTGGCTCTTGCTCAGCTGGTCTCCAATCTGTGAGCTCAGGCAATCCACTACCCTCGGCCTCCCACAGTGCTAGGATTACAGGCGTGAGCCACCATGCCTGGCTTCCTGCCACAACTCTTGGTACATCCACCAGCAAAGTATTCCTGGAGCCCAGTGCAGTAGTCAGTCTTCTTGCATCAATCTTTATGGTCCCCACCTCAAGCTAATGTTCTATCCCTGTGTAAATTTTGGGACACTTAAAATCCCAAATGAACCTTCATAAATGCATCAACGTACACAATTATGATTTAATAAAAACAACAACAAAAATCTCGACTAAAATCACGTTCTTGGCTTGGTGCCTATAGCAGAGTTTACAGCGCCAGCCACATACACCGAGGATGGCAGGTTCGAACCCAGTCTGGGCCAGCTAAACAATGACAACTGCAACAAAAAATAGTCAGGAGTTGTGGCGGGCGCCTGTAGTCCCAGCTACTTGGGAGGCTGAGGCATGAGAATCGATTAAGCCCAAGAGTTTGAGGTTGCTGTAAACTGTGACGCCACAGCACTCTACCAAGGGCGACATACTGAGACTCTTTCTCAGAAACAGAAAAAAATAATAAAAAATAAAATCATGTTCTTCTATTCAAAACCCTCATGGCTCTCAGCGTCTTCAGAATAAAGGTACAACTGCTCAACCTGACATTCCGGTTATAACTCCTCAAACTGTTCCGTGCTGAGGAGAGAAGGGCCCTGGATCTCCTGGATCGTCACGGTTCGGTCGCCCCGCCAACCCCTTACCCATGCGGCCCCCTCTGCCTGTAACGCTCTGGCACCCCTGTCACGGTGGCTGACAGAAACAGGTACTCCATCCATCAGTGACAGGGGATGCAGGGAATGGACCTCTAATTCCGGGCTTTACTAGAGTTGGGTGCAAGGGTGTCTAAAGGCCAGGGGGAAGCAGCACCCACCTGCGCCAGGTCCCGCTGCTCCGCAGCCACCCCTTGACTCTGAGGACGAAGAGAGGCTGGGAATGGGGGGCCTCTAGGCCAGGGACACAGGCATTTGCCTTCCCTCTGAGCCTCCGACACTCCTTGGAGCAGTGGGGACATCTCAGCGTGTCCAGGAACCCCTGCTGGTCAGACCCCCAAAAGACCAAACATGTCTGCCACTAGCAGGCGGAAGTCCCGCCCAGAGACGGAAACACCTCTTCTAGAGGCCCCATTGGAAGTGTGGCGCACAGTCCTCTGGGTAATGTAGTTCCCACTGAACCATCCTCCAAGGTGGGAGATTCTTAGAAAAGGACTAAGTGCTTGGGCCAAGGTCTTGGGCAGATTATAACCCGACTTTCAGAAGGCAGGCTGGACTTCACTCCTCCTAAAGAGACTGCGCCTGGGGTGTAGGCTGCACTTACTACAGAAATGTTGAAACATTCCAGATGTTCCCTAAAGCCCCAAGACCAAATGGGTGCACCACACTACAATGTCTATGCCCACTGATGTTACCTGGAAGCTTTTTGTTTGGGAAGGGCAGGGTCTTTCTCTTTATCACCCAGGCTGGAGTGCAGTGGTGTGACCATAACTCACAGAAGACTTGAAACTCCTGGGCTCACGCCATCCTCCTACCTCAGCCTTCAAGTAGCTAGGACTATAGGCACTGTCCACCATGCCTGGATAATTTTTCTTATTTTTTGTAGAGATGTGGTCTTGCTATGTTGCCCAGGATGGTCTTGAACTCCTGGCCTCAAGTGATCCTCCTGCCTTGCCTCTCAAAGTGCTGGGATTACAGAAAAAATAGGATTACAAAAAACAAAAACAAAAACCTGCTCCTTTATGTCTCTTCTGTTCAATTATTTTTTTCTTTTTGGGTGGCTACCCAATAAACTCCTCATGGTCCCAAGTGGTCTGTTATGTGAACAGTGGCCTCCCTTTCTGAGATCGACTGATGGGGGGCAGGGGGGGCCTAGAGGTACGTGAGGAAGTTTCATGCTACTCCCAGAAGTACTAGAGGTTGTCTAGTACTCTTACCTCTTCAGGGTAAGCTCTGAACTCACAAAGTATCATGGTATTCAGGCTACAAATAAGGACCACAAAGTCCTTTGCTTGGAGGAAAAACTTTGATTAGATGTATTGGGCCAAACTGGAGAAAGAACTATTTTCTGCCATAATTATGTTACTCTGAGACACATTAAGTTTGGTATGTTTACAAATGCTATTACTCCAATCATTCTGGCAGAACTCTAAGTTTTCTTTTCTTTTCTTTTCTTTTTTTTTTTTTTTTTGAGACAGAGCCTCAAGCTGTTCCCCTGGGTAGAGTGCCATGGCTTCACAGCTCACAGCAACCTCCAACTCCTGGGCTCAAGCAAGTCTCCTGCCTCTGCCTCCCAAGTAGCTGGGACCACAGGCGCCCACCACAACGCCTGGCTATTTTTTGGTTGCAGCCGTCATTGTTGTTTGGCGAGTCTGGGCTGGATTTGAACCCACCACCTTAGGTGTATGTGGCTGGCGCCTTAGCCACTTGAGCCACAGGCGCCGAGTCAGAACTCTAAGTTCTCAATGCACCCCATAAAATAAACTCTCAAGCTTAAAGGTGGCTTAAAATATAAAGTCTTTATAAAACAGAAATCAGAGCAAGAAGAGGTAGGTTTTCATGGGCTAGTGAATTGGAGACCAAAAATATCATCACTAGAATCATAGGAAGCCAGCAATATCCCTGAAAAAGGTAGTCCATCTTTTCAACTCATCAGCAGAACTCAGATCAAGTCCTCTGGGCCCCAAATGGGTCAGATTCACCCACTAACTCATCAGCAGGAAATGACAAAGCAATTGAGTGTTCAGACTTCTCACAAATTCCTCCTGCAAAAGGAACACAGAAGTTTGCTTCCCAAAGCATACTGAGGTGGATGAACAATGCACATTGTGGGTTCACACCAGGTGGCGAGGTCAACTGGCTAGAATTATAATACTGACAGTGATAAAAATCTTGCAAGGGCCCCAAGCAAGTTTAAAAGTTCAACTCAGCTCCCTAAATCTTGCCATATACCTAGAATATATGCAGATGTCTGAATGAATGAGGTTCAGTTCAGACAGATGGCACTCTCATAAGAGATTACCTCCAGTGTTGTTATACTGAACAAGAAAGTATCACAATCCCAGTAAACCTATAGTACTTTTCCCATGTGAACTTTGGTACCCAATGAGGTAAGGCCTTTGGCTAATGGCTTTCTCATATCCAACACACTCATGACTTTACTCCAGTGTGAACTCTCTGGTGTCGAATGAGGCTAGAGCTTTTGCTAAAAGATTTTCCACACGTCTACATTCGTTAAGCCTTTGGCTAATGGCTTTCTCATATCCAACACACTCATATGACTTTACTCCAGTGTGAACTCTCTGGTGTTGAGTGAGGCCAGAGCTTTTGCTAAAAGATTTTCCACACTGTCTACATTTGTAAGGCCTTTGGCTAATGGCTTCTCATATCCAACACACTCACATGTCTTTACTCCAGTGTGAACTCTCTGGTATTGAGTGAGGCCAGAGCTTTTGCTAAAAAATTTTCCATACTGGCCAACATTCATAAGTCCTTTCTCCAATGTGAACTCTCCAATGGTCACTGAAGTTCGAGCTTCACCTAAAGGTTTTCCCACATTCACTGCAGCTATAGGGCCTTTCTCCAGCGTGAACTTCCTGCTGTTTAAAGAGCGCAGACCTTTGGCTAAAGGATTTCCCACATTCACTGCATTTGTAAGGTCTTTCTCCAGTATGAACTCTCAGATGTAGAATGAGGCTGTAATTCTGGTGAAAGAACTTCCTACATTCGGTGCATTCATCGGGCCTTGATCCAGTGTGAACTTCCTGGTGTTTTATGAGACTGGAATTGTTGGTAAAAAATTTTCCACCTTTGCTGCACTCATAAGGTCTTTCTCCAGTATGAACACCATGATGTTGCAGAAGTGCAGAGCTTTGGCTAAAGGATTTCCCACATTTGCTGCATTCATAAGGCCTTTCTCCAGTGTAAATTCTCTGATGTTGAATGAGGTTGAACCTTTGGCTAAGGATTTACCACATTCATTGCACTCATAAGGCCTTTCTCCAGTATGAACTTTCTGATGGTTATTGAGGCTATAGCTCTGGCTAAAGGATTTCCCACATTCTCCACATTTGTAAGGTCTTTCTCCAGTGTGAACTCTCTGATGTTGAAAGAGGTTGGATCTTTGGCTAAAGGATTTCCCACATTCTCCACACTTATAAGGCCTTTCTCTAATGTGAACTCTCTGGTGTTTAATGAGGCTGTAGTTATGGCTAAAGGACTTCCCACATTCATTGCACAAGTAACATCTTTCTCTAGTGAGGGCTCTCTGATGCTGAACAAGTGTGTATTTGTGGCCAAAGGCTTTGTTGCATTCTCCCTAGTCATAACAGGTTTTTCCCCTCTGAAAGGCAGCCCACCATAGTGTTCTGTAATTTGACTTTTCCCTTGTATGAGTGCTCAGTAGCTGGAGAAATCCCAAACTGGCTGGGAAGTTGCTCCCAATGTCCCTGTAAGCAAAGGGCTTCTGTGACTCACTGGATGTGCAATT